TTTAAGATGAGAATCTTTTAAAAGACGAAACGTTTGTTTGATAATTTTAGGAAAAAATCCCATTATTAGGATCGTATGTAGATAAAAATATATATTTTTTCTTCTTGATCTGTTTTCTTGTTTGTTTCTCTCAAAACATTTTGTTCTATATTACGTGTCTTTTGGACACCTACTCTGATATTTCAGAAGCACGAGCATGGATTCTAATTCATTTAATCTTCTTTCTCTAACTTTGTTATTCGATACAATTGTACAAATTCTTCTAGCCAGAATATATGGGTGACAGCAGTCAAAATGCAAATAGTTATGAGTGTCAGTTAGTTTATAATATACATTCGTCTCCCATATTCCAGTTATGTTCATTACATTTATATCCAGGAACGGTGTCTTCTCTCCTGACACCTCCATTAAGAATGAAGTATCTGTATGTAGATTTTGCAGAATTAATACGCAATATCATAATACAATTCGAATCACTCTTACCTATATAGGGCTAACACTTCCGTTTCAGCATCACCGATATATCTGGCTTATGAGTTCGCACTATACTACACGCAGTGATACAAACCGGATTATGTGTCACCAGCCTTAGCACATCATAATATATACCGATCGTTTTCCTACATCACCACCACAAACAAATATCATGGTTAACCATCGGAATTCGGAAACAGTGACGTAAGATTCATGCAAATGAAAAAAATAACACTGATGAAACGTTTATTTCATTCCAACATGGTTCGGAAACTGTTATTTTTTACATCTGTGACTTTGAATAAAAACCTTTACCCCACATTTCAGTTATTGTAAGATTAGTTGAACATCTCATTGATTTACTTAATAACCAGATGGGAATTATGTAAATTGATTATTCAAATACGGTTTGTTGAAAAAAAGGAATATCACAGATGTTGGCTACCTATTCTTCAGGTTACCCATTTACCATTAACAGAAACTCAAGTGCTAAAATGACTGGATGGTTGGTTGATAGATTGAGTGATTGACTGAGTTATTGATTAATTATGATTGATTTATTGAATGATTAAATTGATTGAAATATTGAATGGTGATTGAATGCTTGATTGATTAATTGATTGACCGATTGACTGATACCGTACATTAAGTTGATTAAGTGATTGATAGCTGAATTATGATTGTCCAATGAATTGTCAAGATATGCACAAGCACACCCAGGCAGAGAGAGAGAGAGAAAGAGAGGGGGAGGGGCATACATGTCCTCTTGACCCTTATCCCATCTACCCAACAAAGTCCTACCCTACATTTCACCTCCCCTGCACCATGTACCATCGCCCTGTCCTGACTCCCATGAACACACCACTGAGTCTATGGTAATAACAAATGCAATTCCTGTTCACTCATGCATAAAATGTTAATCCCATAAACCACAAATTTCACTCAGCAAACCCAAACCATTTTCACAATTGATCATAAATTGGTCAAATCATCCTCAATTCCGTAAGCTCCAAAGGATTTACCTCTCACAAATTGGAGGGCAAATTCCTGCGCAACCTAATTTTCATAACTTTACCAAAGTGAGCAGTGCTCACCCAAGCATAACTTATTTTCAGACTTTTCGGTGTCATATGAAAGTTGAGTTTATGAGCTTTCCATACACATAAAACTTTTCCCCCAGAATCATATATTTTGTTATTCGGCAGCCATTTCAAAAGTGTATAGTTTTTTTTGGGACGCACTGTATTACGTGTCTTTTGGACACCTACTCTGATATTTCAGAAGCAAGAGCATGGATTCTAATTCATTTAATCTTCTTTCTCTAACTTTGTTATTCGATACAATTATACGAATTCTTCTAACCAGATTATATGGTATATTCACCTTTGTGTAGCATGAGTGGACAGCAGTCAAAATGCAAATACTTATGAGTGTCAGTTAGTTTATAATCTACATTCGTCTCCCATATTCCATTCATGTTCATTACATTTATATCCAGGAACGATGTCTTCTCTCCTGACACCACCATTTGAAATGAAGTATCTGTATGTAGATTTTGCAGAATAACACAAAAATGTCTCCAAATTCTTTTTTTGTTCATTTAATATAACAATCATCGAGGTGCATGAGCCAATGTTTCTCCACATATAACCTGGCTTCTTTTGAAATGACAACATATTTGCATATGTTGGGGCAATTTTTTTCCCATTGCTTTTCCTTTAATTTGTTTACTAAAGTGTACCATCAAATTGCAATACATTATTTATCAGTATCAATTCAATGGCTTCTAGAACAATTTTTTTTTATATTCTCGTTTTCAAATCTTGAGGATATTTTCCCAACCATTATACAATGGCATCCAATCTAACTTGATGATCAATTTCAGCATAAAGACTGTTAACTTCAATCATAACTAAAAAGCTATTATCGTCAATATTTTCAGGTAGGTCAAGAAATCAAGAAATCTACAATATCTTGAATATCGGTTTTTACATGTTTCCAGCATGGTTACAGTATCAATCAGATAGTTTAGACGATGAGTAGGACATACCGGTCCTGCAACTATTGGTCTCATTTCCTCAAGTCCATATCAGATCCACATTGTACTTATTTTTATGTTGGTGCATATTAGAATAGATAAATAAATCAGATTTTAATTCAATAATTGCTCTTTTCGATTAATATATCGCCGTTTTAATACGCAATATCATAATACGATTCAAATCAATCTTACCTATATAGGGCTAACACTTCCGTTTCAGTATCACCGATATATCTGGCTTATGAGTTCGCACTGTACTACACGCAGTGATACAAACCGGATTATGTGTCAGCAGCCTCAGCACATCATAATGTATACCGATCGTTTTCCTACATCGCCACCACAAACAAATATCATGGTTAACCATCGGAATTCGGAAGCAGTGACGTAAGATTCATGCAAATGAAAAAAATAACACTGATGAAACGTTTATTCCATTCCAACATGGAAAGTACCCGGAACTAGCAATGATGCGCGATCTATTTTTGTTCAGCTTACGACGTGGGATGATTCATGACTCATAGCTCGGATGAACATGGCCTTTAGATGCAACGCTTGCAGACGGTAAATGATCGCTAGGCTAGGTAAAACTGGTCATGGCATTGGGTGATCCTGACCATCGGGAAAGCTTGACCATTTGTGTGAGCTTCTGGGACGTTACCTCACCCCTGGGTAAACTCATTAACCAATCAACGTTACCTATCAACCTACAGTGCGTTAATCTTCATTTCATGAAGCCTGCACTTTTCAGGAAATAACACCGATGAAATGAAATTCCATTCCAAGAATTGGCTTCCATGAAATAATACAAGGATGCGCGTACTAGTTATATTCAGGATACGTGGCGGATCCAGCCGGCGGCAAGGGGGGGGGGGGGGGGGAGTTGGGGGTGCAATTCTTGAGAAAATATTTAGCGGCACACTAGCGCCGCATTCCGCGCTTCCGCGGAAAGGAGGGGGGGGGGACTCTGAGGGGGATGTGACCCCAGCTGAAGAACAATCACATTTTCAAACGCAATTTGTGCGATTTGGTGTTATTTACAGCCAGGATGTCATTTAAAATCTATGACTTTTTTGCAGCATAAATTTATGATAAGCCTTTGCTTTCTAAAGCCCTCATCACACCGAACTAGTTCTCAATACGTTCTGGAAAATGTTGTCAAACGTGCTCAAACTGTGTGCAAACGGAGTTGAACGTAGTAGCAACTGTTAAACGATCTGTTCAAAAGCTTTATGGACGGGCTCGGACTGGCTATAAGGGAGAGTGCTCTAGAACTTTGAGCCTGTTCAAAATTGTCCTCGTCCTGCAAATAAACGGAGTGACAATTTACTTAAAACGAAGAGGACGTACTACAAACGGACTGATTGTCGTACTAGGGACGGAATTGCCTCGATCCTACTAAGAACGTGTTACAACGTGCTGTGTTCGAGCATCAATTAGCAGCAGTATAAGCCCCCATCACCCCAAACTAGTTCTCACTACGTTCTAGAACCATCCTAGAAAATCATAAAATGTGTTATGGTCGGGGTAGAATGTGTAAATAATGTCTATGATACGATCCTACTACGCTCATGAGCAGTCCTCAATACGTCCATCTCGTCTCTACCCCGTCCACAGTCAGCTCATATCAAGTTCAGATCGGGCAAATTTGCCATTTTCAAGCAGTCCGGCCGGTCCGTAATCAGTTTAAAACAGTTCTTAATTATTTCTGCCTCGTTCCCAATACGTCCAAACCATTCTAACTAGTTCGCAACTTGATCTGACTTTTTGTTTGTAACCCGACCACCCCGTTCAGGAACAGTACAACTTGTCCTCATCTCGTTCTTAGTGGGTTCGAACGCGCCTATGTAGGCTCGAGGACTATAAAAACAACTTATCTGATCGATTCCTTAATTCTCCCCACTATAGTATTACAATTTAGTTACATTTTAGGTGAATGCAAATTGTCACAAAGCAATGAGTTTGTTTTTAGCAGATGTTTCTGCATTTATTGATAAATCAAATATAAAACATTTAAATAACAATAATAGTAGATGATACAATCGATTTACATAAAATGTGACAAACTTAAATACACACACATAAAAATGCATATAATGCATAACAACTTATCTAATCGATATTTTTTAATGTAACAAATATTGAAAATTAAAAGATTTGGTGCAATAGCAATAATCAAAATATGTATGAGTTATTGTATTTTCCAAACTGAATAAGAAACAATATTCTTAAAGTGAAACAAGTATTAGTAAACAATATCTGGAAATAAGTTGGTTCCATTTGTATTAATTTTCAAGAAAATGATTTACTTTCCCCTTAAATTGGCATAGTTAAAAAGTGCATTACCGAATTGTTGTTTTCAGCAGTTAAGTAATAGGATACAATATGTACATAGTCCATCGTCTACAGTGGAATCTAGTACAATAGATATGGTAACAGGTGACCCCATTGATGTAGCAGACATAAGAGTCAAACACTATTATGATTTGATATTAGAAAAAAACAGGATCTGCCGTGCATTTATTTTTGGAACGCTTATTTTGATTAACCTAACTGGAAGACGGTGCTTTATTATAAATTTTAATTTATAAATGACAACAGAATTAAGCAGTTTAATTTTTAATTTATTCATAGAATAATACCCAGTAAAGATAATTTATGTAATAAAATGGAAGATTGAAAATAATAATCTATGTGATGTCTGTAAAATCCCGGATACAACTAACCACCTTCACCTGGCTTGTAAGAAGGATTTCGCTTTTCTTTGAAGATTGTATCCAAATTAATCGATACTTTGTTTAATTTAAAAATCTTTCTGAACGAAAAAATCTTCTTATAGCTCATGAAATAGAGAAGAGAGAAATGAATCTGATCAATCTTATTTAAAACTTTTCTCAGCGCATTATCTATAGAAACTATATTAGAGAATGTTTTGGAAGTATGATGTATATTTGTCAAAAGAATTAAAGGTAGAAATTCGCACTGATCTCGATAACAAATGTAATCAAAAGAAATTTGATACAAACGAAGTAACAAACAAAATGTTTGCATCATTTCATTTAGTGATTATATCACATTAGTTTCATGTTTTGTACTATATATGATATGTTACAAGTGCATTAATTATGTATATAAACACTGTTGTAAATAGCTGTTATTTTTATGATATGAACAAATAAAGTCCCTCGACAGAGGAAAAATAGAAGAAAAAAATATTGATATGTTACTCTTTTGTTTTTTCTTCCAAATAGTGTCTTTCATTACTTTACAAGAGGATGCAATACCCATTTATATTTTACTTTTGATTGTAAAATAATAAGAAATTCGAAACGTACATTGCAATACCCATTAATATCTTGCATGCAAACGAATATCTAAGTTTCAATTATACCTACAACAAAACATTGTTTTATCAACTGAATATAGTGCTCTTGGTTTCGTTTAAGGAGTATAGAAGGCATCATTTCGGATGTAGCACGGCGACAGGATATTTATATTTACATTATAAGAATCGCATCATTACAACACTACAATATAATTACATTACGATACAACTATTATCCATGAAATATACATACACCATAATCTAAAATAGTATTACGTAAACGAGACTAATTTGATAGAGAAAAGGCAAGTCAATTAAGGTATACCATGGAAGGTTCATTCATGTGAATAAAATAGACAAGAGATAACATATCTTTGAGTGGTCAACTTGACGGTCACTTTATGAAATACGACAGACACATTTTTGGGGTTTAAATAGTAAAACATTTTAGCCTGAATCAGGGCCCAGTTACATACAACTAGTCATCAATAGCATATGCTAAATCATATATATGACAAAGTTTGCTCTCAGCCAATCAACCGCCAGTAGCTTATAACAATTATTATATAACTCTGGTTATTTATAACAATTTTTATGAAGCAGGGTCCTTGTTTACTATTGTACCAGACCCGTCATTCCCCCGATAATAGAAGACCATGAAAGGAGAGAGTTGAAGATGGAGAGATATTGACAGGAACACGGAAGGCAATAAATAAATATAACGTGGGTGTCCTGCCTATTGATAATCAACTCAGATGAAAGGTTTTTACTTGGTAAAATTACTACGCTTTTTTGTAACATTTAAAATTGAAGAAGAAGCTATGAAAGAGCCTAAAAAGACATAATCACTCCCTGATAAAGGACCGTATATTTAAAAGGCTCTTAACTTTAACGAGAGTTACGAGTATCCGATCGATATATAATTTCCATGGATAGTTGGTGTCACAAATACTGCCGAATACATCTGATCATACAACCGTCTTGGCCATCTAAAAGTAAATCTTTTTCGCTTAAAAGTTTCCATAGGATTTAATTGCGTCACTTTCGGGAATCGTTAACTCGTTATATGAAGGCGGCGGTTGATCTGGTAGTCTTTCCACAGGAGCTGATGGTTGTAGGGTTGGTTGGGCTGGTGGGTACTGGTTGACAGCAGGTTGAGCCGGTAGGTACTTGCTGTGAACATGTTGAGCCGATGGGTACTAGTTCGTACTGCTTTGGACCGGTTGAAAGGACCCCGCTTGTTGCTGAGGTTGATATGAATACACGAATGTCTGTTGACCGCCTCCTCCTCCTCCGCCTCGCTGGATAATAGGAGGTTGTACTAACCCTGGTGTAGATGCGGCATTTGGGGCAACGACTGTTGTTGTCATGGCCGTTTCAGAGAATGTCGTTGGCATGTTTGATGAGTGACGCGGTGCATTGCAACACGAGGCGATGCTAAGGATCAGTACGATGATTCCAATAACCAAAACTGCTATTCCTGCGTACATCTGACGCATACCGGACCTTCTCGCTTCCGGGAAGCTGTCATAGAAACTGTCTGACAGATTTCCTCCTGTAAAATATCCCATTAATATATTTACAACTCCGACAAATACGATAAAGAAGGAAATGATAAACAAGCAACGCGAACATTGATAGAAGCGCTCCAAACATGGCCTATCTTGGGGATTTGCATTGTACATGGTCGTTTGTGCTACGACGGGAGTCGTTGTACTAGTTGCTGCCATCTCCTTCTACGGACTGTGTACGCGATCGAGGTGTAAAATCAGTACACCATTCGCCGCTTCCCGCCCCTTTGTAGTAAATAATGTAAGTCGGGTTTAGTCCTAAAAAATACAAAGAGAGAGAGAGAAAGAAAGAAAAAACACCGTATTATTATACAATCAAGAAAAGCATTGGGATAGATAATACAGGATTGTGCATTTAATACTAAATCAGGCGTCATTGCTGCGCACTAACGAGGCTTGAACCGCTTCCAATCTTGTTCTGAGTAAATTAGTTACGACATCTGACCAGAGCTTTTTAAAGGCATTTTTACTATATTTATCATTATCGATGATTGGTTTATTGCTTATTGGTTATCATTATTATTATTTTTGATGATTGATGGTTGATGGTTGATTATTATGATTATCGTTAGTATCATCATCATCATCATCATCATCATCTTTATAAGCACTATTATGGTTATCTAATATTTATACGAAGTAGATGTGTGCTTCGCTCTTGTCCCAGGTGACACAGATGAAAAGAAGTTAAAAACGCAGAAAAAAGGGAAAGAACTATTTAGTCGTTGGTGCCGATAAATTGGGAAGTAACATGGATTTCATGGTCATTTAAGAAGAAAAAATAAGGGATTTTACATTACCTGAGCTTCCCCACAAAAAATAGGTAATGTATTCCACAATATTGAGAGCACATTAATTTTTTCACATAGGGAATTGTAAAATTGCAAATGACAAACAAGGGCAATGAAATATATACAAACACTGACAATGACAATGACAATTTATTCTCATGTCACCCACATTGGGGTATTGGAGAAGTTTCACAACCAGTTTTAATTTGTCAATCTAACACTGTACAATATATACAATTCAAATCGAGTAAATGTTAATCACTAAAAATATCACCATCAACGGTAGTGGAAAAAATTATGATAATACTAATAATAAAGATAAAATTAATAATAATAACCTTAATAAAAATAATAATTCAAAAAATACTGATAATAATAAGTATAATGATAATTAATGACAAAATTAATGGAAGCAATTGAAAAAGAAAGATTGTTATTCGAATCAATGAATTACTGTAAATATTCTTGATATCAATTTAATAATTTGACAAAAAAGAGAAACATAAAGACAATATTGAACTCATAACATTTTATGTGCACATACTAAACAAGGCACTATTTTTTGACAGAATTTTACTAAGTTTAAACGTGTTTGTGCTTTATTGGAGTTGAAAAGCTGATCCATTTTCAGTGTATTCGGTCTTTCAATAAAATATTTATCGAGGAACAATTTTCAGTCTGAACGGAAGGTAGGGCATACAAACAAGTAATGAAACTCGTCCTCAAGTGATTGCAAATTGCAGAGTGTGCATAACCCCATTTTCCTATGAGTATTTGAATAATCGGCAAGTGATGATTGCCACAGCGAAAACGACTTTAATGAGATCGATTAAGTGTCTTTCTAAACATAAACATATGTTTAAAGATTCGATAGTTGACACAATGTGAATTATCGTATATACAAGCAGACCAATACTGGGCATGGGAATCTTTCAATCGACGTTCCACAGTTTGTTTGACCCAATCACAACTAGTATTTTCACAAATTTCTCAGAAATCAGACATCCCCATATTGTCCAGGGTCAGCTTGATTTTGTTCAACCAAGGTGCCTGATATATTCTGCTCAAAGAGTATTTTTAAAAGAATGTACATAATGAATTTGATTTGATTTGATTTGATTTGATTTGATTTGATTTGTTTATTTATGTTTGATTTTCTTTTTCTTTTGCATTTTTACACAAACATAACAAGCAGACATTGCAAATGTACACATGACAAAAGAATATATGTAGAATAAAGTAAGGCTGGCTTTAATTAATCGAAAACATCGAACAGGAGGGTTGACAAAGTAAGCAAAGCTTGATAGTATGACTACCCTTAAAGGATACATAATAATACGTGAAATATGGAGGGAACAAATATTGGTAAAAGGGGGAAAAGAGGGGAAAAGAAGAAAAAAAGAAAGAGGGATGCAAATCAAGATCCACAGAATTGTGTACGTGGTAGTTGGATTTCAATTTTGTATCCTTATATACAAAAGAAGATGTAATTTTGAATATCGAGTGGCCAACTTGGAATATAATAGAATGAGAAGACTCGAGAAGTTCGGACAATATGAATGTGAATATGATATCAGTGAGCAAACGGATTGTTTACTAAAGAAATGTTTACTTCTGAACTAGGAAATGGTTTCCAATTAGAATTAAAGTGTGAAAAGTTTTTATTATAATTACACCCAGGTGTAAATGGGTACCTGATATGTTTGAGCGCTAGCTACTTTGGCAGCTCGACTACGACCAGGGTAATGTGTAAAGCGTCATGAGCCCCCCCCCCCCCCCCCAATAAAAAAAATAAGAGAGAAGGAAGGAAAGGGAAAGAAATGACATAATTTCCGAGATTTTTCCTCACTTTTTAGTAAATACGTTTGTATGTGTTTGTTGGAGAATGACAAATTACTAAATTTACAGCCAGGCAAGAAATATGATTCTTGAGATTCCTACATGTCAGGCCCGAGGTGGGGCGGGGATTGGGAGCCTCGAGCTCCTCCCCCCCCCCCCTCCCCCCGCCACTTTTTTGAAAAAGTATATTAAAGAGAAATAAAATAGAATGAGAGCAAGAAAGAAAGAATAGTTAACTGCCAGTGTTAAAAATTAATGAGACATCTAAATATGCTCATCTGAACGTGATTAAATGCCTAAACCCCCTGATTTTTTTGGGCTCCGCCCCCTGGAACCTACGCCAAATAGTGACCTGCCAGTGTCATAAAATAATAAGGTATACAAAAAAATGCTCATCTGACCTTAATTAAACGCCTAAAACCCCTGAGCTTCCGGGGCCGGCTCAGCCACCAGGGGCCCTAAGGCGGGCCCCTGAACGCTTATCTGAACGCAATTTATTGCCTTAAACCCCTAAGCTTGCGGGGTCGGACAAGGTATCAAAATGTGTTTATCTGACCGCAGGCGCGTAGCCAGGGGGGGGGGGGCGGTCCCCCTAAATCGGAAGAGGACGTAGGAAGAAAAAGGAGCAGACAAAGAACACCTTTGAAAAAAGGATTAAGAGTATAGAGAACGGTACAACGCATCATCTTCTTTCTCTAATAATTTAATGAAACGTCAAAGCTTCGCTCAGGAGGGGAGAGGGGGGGGGGGGAACTGAATTCAGACGAGGATTAAGAGTCGAGAACGGTACAACGAATCGTGTTCTTTCTCTAATGATTTAATGAAACGTTAAAGCTTCCGCGCTTCGCGCAAGAGGGGGGGGGGGACCTGAATTCAGACGAGGATTAAGAGTCGAAAGCTCTCCAAAGAAGCGTAATAATTTAATAAATCGTAACATTTTCTTGTGAAACGTCAAAGCTTCCGCGCAATGCGCGGGATGGGGGGGGGGGGACCTGATTTCAGACGAGGATTAGTGTCGAAACGCTACAACGAATCGTCTTCTTTCTCTAATGATTAAAGGAAACTTAAAAAGCTTCCGCGCGAAGCGCGGGAGGGGGGAACCTGAATTCAGACGAGGATTAAGAGTCGAGAACGGTACAACGAATCGTGTTCTTTCTCTAATGATTTAATGAAACGTAAAAGCTTCCGCGCTTCGCGCGAGAGGGGGGGGGGGGGACCTGAATTCAGACGAGGATTAAGAGTCGAGAGCTCTCCAAAGAATCGTAATAATTTTATAAATCGTAACATTTTCTTGTGAAACGTCAAAGCTTCCGCGCAAAGCGCGGGAGGGTGGGGGGGGGGGACCTGAATTCAGACGAGGATTCAGAGGCGAGAACGGTAATACGAATCTTTAATGATTTAATGTTACCTTCCGCGCTTCGCGCGGGATGTAGGGGGAACTAAATTCCGACGAGGATTATTTTCGAGAACGGTATAACGAATCGTCTTCTTTCTCTAATGATTTAATGAATCGTAAAAGCTTCCACGCTTCGCGCGGAAGGGGGATACTGATTTCAGACGAGGATTAGTGTCGAAAACGGTACAACGAATGGTCTTCTTTCTCTAATGATTAAAGGAAACTTAAAAAGCTTCCGCGCTTCGCGCGGGAGAGGGAGGAACCTGAATTCAAAAGAGGATTAAGAGTCGAGAACTCTCCAAAGAATCGTAATAATCTAGTAAATCGTAAAAATTTTCCGCGCTTCGCGCGGGAGGGGAAAAACTAAATTCAGACGTGAATTATTTTTGAGAAGGGTACAACGAATCGTCTTCTTTCTCTAATAATTTAATGAAACGTCAAAACTTCCGCGTTCGCGGAGGAGGGAGGGAGAAACTCGCCCCTCCCTGCCCTGACCCCCCCCCCCGCATTACGTCACTGTTGGTCACCATTACGTACCAATATTTGGCTCGCATAATTTCAAATTTGGCCCCCCCCCCCTAAGAAATCCTGGATCCGCGCCTGCATATTATTACAATTATTGATTTAAAGTATAAATCATAGACAGTTTCACGCATAGCCTGATGGAAGATGACTTGCCACGGGTTTATAATGAAATCATAAGCCCACCATCTGACTGTAACACAATAGACTGAATTCCCTTTAATGAAGTATCAAATTGAGACCTCTTGAGTAAAGTAATTGAGGGGGCGTTTCATGAAACAATGAGTCAGTGGTTTTCACCGACTAATATCATGTTCACCAACAATTTAGTCAGCGCTGACTAAATTTGACCAATCACAGGCCTGGAAAATAGTCGGTGACAAAAGAATTTTCGATGAACATGATATTAGTCGGTGAAAACCACCGACTAATTGTTTCATGAAACGCCCCCCAGATCTACAACATTTGCTCTTTCGCTTTCAAAGAAATCATATAAGCACATCATCTGGGATCATCTGATTGTCACACACAAGCAAGACTGAATCCCCCTCTCTGTATTCAACATGTTATTCTTTTCGATCAATATATCTCTGTTTCAATACGCAACATCATAATACATTTCGAACAATTACAATACGAATCTCTCTTACCTATGGCTAACAATTCAGTTTCAGCATCACCAATATTACATCTGGATTATGAGACCGCACTACAGTAGTCTATCAAACACATGTGCTGCAAATCGGATCATGTGCATGTCAACAGCCTCAGCACGTATTACTAATAACTAGGTAAGAGTTAATGTGTCAGTTTCAGCATCACCAAAACAATTATCTGGCGTATGAGATCGCACTCAGTAGTCTATATATAAGGTAGAGGTCAGTGTGACAGTGTCTATAATATACACGCAGTGCTGCAAATCGGATCATGCGTCCACAGCCTCGTACGTATTGCTAATGCTCGTAATTCCATATCGCCACCACAAACGATTTAATAGCACGGTTAACCATCGGTGACCCGAGATTCTTGTAAATGAAAAACTAACACGGATGTAACGTTTATTCCATTCCAACATGGAAAGTACCCGGAATTAGCAATGATGCGCGATCTATTTATGTTCAGCTTACGACGTGGGGTGATGCATGACTCATAGCTCGGATAAACACGGCCTTAGATGCGACACTTGCAGACGGTAAATGATCGCTAGACTAGGTAAAACTGGCCATGGCATTGGGTAATCCTGACCATCGGGAAGCTTGACCATTTGTGTGAGCTTCAAGGACGTTACCTCACCCCTGGGTAAACTCATTAACCAATCAACGTTACATTATCAACCCACAGTGCGTTAATCTCCATTTCATGAAGCCTGCACTTTTCAGGAAATAACATCGATGAAATGAAATTCCATTCCAAGAATTGGCTTTCATGGAATATTACAAGGATGCGCGTACTAGTTATATTCAGGATACGTGGCGGATCCAGCCGGCGGCAAGGGGGGGGGGGGGGAGTGGGGGGTGCAATTCTTGAGAAAATATTTAGCGGCACGCTAGCGCCGCATTCCGCGCTTCCACGGAAAGGAGGGGGGGGGGGGGGAACTCTGAGGGGGATGTGACCCCAGCTGAAGAACAATCACATTTTCAAACGCAATTTGTGCGATTTGGTGTTATTTACAGCCAGGATGTCATTTAAAATCTATGACTTTTTTGCAGCATAAATTTATGATAAGCCTTTGCTTTCTAAAGCCCTCATCACACCGAACTAGTTCTCAATACGTTCTGGAAAATGTTGTCAAACGTGCTCAAACTGTGTGCAAACGGAGTTGAACGTAGTAGCAACTGTTAAACGATCTGTTCAAAAGCTTCATGGACGGACTCGGACTGGCTAGAAGGGAGAGTGCTCTAGAACTTTGAGCCTGTTCAAAATTGTCCTCGTCCTGCAAATAAACGGAGTGACAATGTACTTAAAACGAAGAGGACGTACTACAAACGGACTGATTGCCGTACTAGGGACGGAATTGCCTCGATCCTACTAAGAACGTGTTGCAACGTGCTGTGGTCGAGCATCAATTAGCAGCAGTATAAGCCCCCATCACCCCCAAACTAGTTCTCACTACGTTCTAGAACCATCCAAGAAAATCATAAAATGTGTTATGGTCGGGGTAGAATGTGTAAATAATGTCTATGATACGATCCTATTGCGTTCATAAGCAGTCCTCAATACGTCCATCTCGTCTCTACCCCGTCCACAGTCAGCTCATCATATCAAGTTCAGATCGGGCAAATTTGCCATTTTCAAGCAGTCCGGCCGGTCCGTAATCAGTTTAAAACAGTTCTTAATTATTTCTGCCTCGTTCCCAATACGTCCAAACCATTCTAACTAGTTCGCAACTTGATCTGACTTTTTGTTTGTAACCCGACCACCCCGTTCAGGAACAGTACAACTTGTCCTCATCTCGTTCTTAGTGGGTTCGAACGCGCCTATGTAGGCTCGAGGACTATAAAAACAACTTATCTGATCGATTCCTTAAATCTCCCCACTATAGTATTACAATTTAGTTACATTTTAGGAGAATGCAAATTGTCACAAAGCAATGAGTTTGTTTTTTAGCAGATGTTTCTGCATTTATTGATAAATCAAACATAAAACATTTAAATAACAATAATAGTATATAATATAATCGATTTACATGAAATGTGACAAACTTAAATACACACACATAAAAATGCATATAATGCATAACAACTTATCTAATCGATATTTTTTAATGTAACAAATATTGAAAATTAAAAGATTTGGTACAATAGCAATAATCAAAATATGTATGAGTTATTGTATTTTCCAAACTGGATAAGAAACAATATTCTTAAAGTGAAACAAGTATTAGTAAACAATATCTGGAAATAAGTTGGTTCCATTTGTATTAATTTTCAAGAAAATGATTTACTTTCCCCTTAAATTGGCATAGTTAAAAAGTGCATTACCGAATTGTTGTTTGCAGCAGTTAAGTAATAGGATACAATATGTAAATAGTCCACCATCTACAGTGGCATCTAGTACAATAGATATGGTAACAGGTGACCCCATTGATGTAGCAGACATAAGAGTCAAACACTATTATGATTTGATATTAGAAAAAAAAACAGGATCTGCCGTGCATTTATTTTTGGAACGCTTATTTTGATTAACCTAACTGGAAGACGGTGCTTTATTATAAATTTTAATTTATAAATGACAACAGAATTAAACACTTTATTTTTTAATTTATATATAGAATAATCCCCTGTAAAGATAATTTATGTAATAAAATGGTAGATTGAAAATAATAATCTATGTGATATCTGTAAAATCCCGGATACAACTAACCACCTTCTCCTGGCTTGTAAGAAGGTTTTCGCTTTTCTTTGAAGATTGTATCCAAATTAATCGATACTTTGTTTAATTTTAAAATCTTTCTGAACGAAAAAAAATCTTCTAATAGCTCATGAAATAGAGAAGAGAGAAATGAATCTGATCAATCTTATTTCAAACTTTGCTCAGCTTATTATCTATAGAAACTATATTAGAGAATGTTTTGGAAGTATGCTGTAAATTTGTCAAAAGAATTAAAGGTAGAAATTCGCACCGATCTCGATATCAAATGTAATCAAAAGAAATTTGATACAAACGAAGTAACAAACAAAAATGTTTGCATCATTTCATTTAGTACTATATATGATATGTTACAACTGCATGAATTATGTATATAAACACTGTTGTAAATAGCTGTTATTTTTATGATATGAACAAATAAAGTCCCTCGACAGAGGACAAATAGAAGAAACAAATATTGATATGTTACTCTTTTGTTTTTTCTTCCAAATAGTGTCTTTCATTACTTTACAAGAGGATGAAATATCACCATTTATATTTTACTTTTGATTGTAAAATAATACAAAATCCGAAACGTACATTGCAGTACCCATTAATATCTTGCATACAAACGAATATCTAAGTTTCAATTTCAACTAAACATTGATTTATCAACTGAATATAGTGTGTTTGGTTTCGTATAAGGAGTATAGAAGGCATCATTTCGAATGTAGCACGGCGACAGGACATTTATATGTACATTATAAGAATCGCATCATTACAACACTACAATATAATTATATTACAATATATACAACTATTATCCATGAAATATACATACACCATAATCTAAAATAATATTACCTGAACGAGACAAATTTGATAGAGAAAAGGCAAGTCAATTAAGGTATACTGTTACTGACAGGAAGTTTTCTCCTGTGTTTGATAAAATCATGTAACGATAAGTCGGGAAATGCTGACGTCATAGACGAGGCTTTTTGGGGAATTGACATGTATTTGACTATTGAGGGCGTTTCTTCGCATGCCACTGATTTTCCTTGTTTGGAACGGTCGGACGACCGTGAGGTTGTGATGATAAATTAATTCTTTTTGATGAGCCCAACGTTGTAAGTAGACAATTACATTGCTATTCCTTTAAAGAGTTGTTGAATGATAATCAGTGATAATTTCTATTAATTATGTTGATGGTTAGTGATGTAAATTTGTTGCGAAAGATTTGTATTGAAGTACGTAATGTAGCAGTGGTATACATAATACGTGCAAGTAATGCATGCATGCACTGTACACGTTTAGTGACCGGAAGTAGTCACGCCTCTTTTGTTAGTTGACAGATTATGAAGTGAGCCATGATAAATAAGGCTGTATGATAGCTGAAGCATATTATTTCTTACAAGGTTGATATAAATGTTCAAGCTGGTTATTAGTGATGAATAATAAATAAATGTCTCATTTAGGGAGATAAAAGTTAGGCTTTGAATACATTGTTTATAAGTATTTTGCTAAGCTAAACTTGGGCCTTGTGTTGTGAAATTAGGATTTTGAGAGCATTGCTTTGACCGGTTATTGTTTACATATTTGAAAGTCAGTGCTAGGATAGAAGCAAGCAAGCCTTTTGTATCAAATAATTGTATTTAAGATCAGATATTGTTTCAGGAGAGGTTTTTGGATATGACACATAAATAATTGACACAAACAAGTTAATTCATATTCAGTTATGCATTTATTGATTGAGACCAGACAAGATGGATAATTATTGTAACAAATAATGTCATTGATAAGCATGTGTACATGTATTCCAGTATTGATTGGATGTTTCCTTTATTTGTTTTGTTCAATTACAGATTGAACCGTGCTGATACGTGCTGAAGTATCTTGTCAGCGTGGTCTCATACTGGGTTTAGAACTTTGTGTCCTGCTTGATTATTTATCGTCACAGTGTCCCCAACATATACCATGGAAGGTACATTCATGTGAATAAAATAGACAAGAGATAACATATCTTTGAGGGGTCAACTTGACGGTCACTTTATGAAATACGACAGACAGATTTTTTTTGGTTTAAATAGTAAAGCATTTTAGCCTGAGTCAGGACCCGGTTTCATAAAACTAGCCATCAATAGCATATGCTATGACAAAGTTTGCTCTCAGCCAATCAACCGCCAGTAGCTTATAACAATTATAACTCTGGTTATTTATAACAATTTTTATGAAGCAGGGTCCTGGTTTACTATTGCACCAGATCCGTCGTTCCCCTGATAATAGAAGACCTTGAAAGGAGAGAGTTGAAGATGGAGAGAAATTGACAGGAAAACGGAAGGCAATAAATAAATAGAACGTGGGTGTCCTGCCTATTGATAATCAATTCAGATGACATGGTTTTTACTTGGTAAAATTACTTCACTTTTTTGTAACATTTAAAATTGAAGAAGAAACTATGAAAGAGCCTAAAAAGACATAATCATTCCCTGATACAGGACCGTATATAAGGCTTTCAACTTTAACGAAAGTTAAGAGTATCCGAGCGATATATAATTTTCCATGGATTGTTGGAATCACAAATACTGCCGAATACGTCTGATCATACAACCTTCATGGCCATCTAAAATTAAATCGTTTTCGCTTAAAAGTTTCCATAGGACTTAGTTGCGTCACTTGTAGGGTTCGTTAACTCGTTATATGAGGGCGGCGGTTGATCTGGTAGTCTTTCCACAGGAGCTGATGTTTGTAGGGTTGGTTGAGTTGGTGGGTACTGGTTGACAGCAGGTTGAGCCGGTAGGTACTGGCTGTGAACAGGTTGAGCCGGTGGGTACTGGTTCGTACCGATTTGGACCGGTTGAAAGGACCCCGCTTGTTGCTGAGATTGATATGAATAC